TTTATTCACAACATTTAAACACAGTCAAATGTAAAATCCCTAATGCCATAATATTAAACTGCCATTTTTCCAGAGCAATGCCTCATTTTAAAAATGCTCTTCTTGTAAAAATAAAAATAAAAAATGTGTGTTTATCAAACGTGTACAGTTTTTACTTTGCAGTTTGCATCAGACAAGCCACAGTGTGTCTGAAAATATAGGTCATCTGAGGCCAGGTCTTGTGTTTTTGTCATTTCTGAGATGTCTACATTTAATTATTTGTTAAAACAAAAACAACACAATTTTTGGTCCCACTTTATATTGTGTCCTTAACTACTATGTACTTACATCAAAAATAAATACAATGTACTTACTGTGTTTATAATGTATTTGAGAACACTTGTGGTGCTTTTGAGTTGGGATAGAGGTTGGGTTATGGACAGGTTTGGTGGTATGGGTAGGTTTAAGGGTGGGTTAAGGTGTAAGGGATGGTCAACAGTGTATTTACAGATGTAGTTACAAAAGTTAACTACAGATGTGATTACATACATGCATGCATTTAATCAAGCATAAGTACACAGTCAATACATGTATTTACACAATAAGTACATTGTAACAAACTATTAATTCCTGTGTGAGTACATATTAGTTAAGGCCACTTAATATAAAGTGGGACCCAATTTTTTATCAGTATTTGCATTTGCTGGTAGTTAAATGTATTACCTTGAGATCTTCAGTGTTGCTTGCTAGTGGTAGTGGGATTTAAAACAACTGGATAACATGAACACTGTTTTACAGATGGCTTCTCGTTCTTGGAAATGTCCTAAATCTCCAGTTAGTGTGTTGTGTGAAATGTTTCAGTAGTGTGCTGATGTCAGGTGCTGTGGGGGTTTTTCTGGTTTTGCCTGGTAAAGTGGCGTCTCAGAGTTCACGGGCAGGTCAGCTGTTTAATGCATAATGTTATTGTGTAAAAGGATGGTGTGGATTTATTTGCTGTGCTTGAAAGTGGCCTGAACAGCAGCATGATGAATGAGCTTTCAGGAAGGCCAGCAGGAGTTCTGGGTTTGTTTGCTCCTCTAATGAGTCCTCATTGAAGGAAAACGGATTTACATTGATTCAGCGATCTCTCATACACGTGTACATGCACACACACACACACACACACACACACACACACACACACACACATACACATACAATCAGATTCCCACCCCTCATGCTGATTGACAGGTTCTATGCCACACTAATTATTTTAATTGGAGCGTGCATGTTTTTTAATTGAGTGTGCATGCATGTATTTTATTTTAATTGATGTTTTTTGAATGTCAGTGTGCCGTTTAGGTAAAAAAGTGTGTTTTTGTGTGAGATCTTTAGAAAGAATATTAGGAAAATATATGGAATATAAGAAAATATGGAAATATTTTGAGATATTTTAAGGGATTTTTAAAATAATTTGAAAAGTTGTTCCCAAGTTATCACCTTGACAATGCATTTTTTATGACTGTTAATAAATATAGTACCTTTTTATCTTAATAGTTATTATATTTTATTTTAAATTGAAATATATCGTATTTATTTATTTACATTTTTTATTTAATTGATCATTTTAATGTTTAATTTATTTACTCATAGTATTATTAATTAATACATTTTATTTTATATTCAAAATTTAAAAAAATTGTAATTATTATTTTATTAAAAATATTTTTTATTTTATTTTTAATGTTTGTTTTGTTTAGTTTTAATTTAAATGCTTTAATAATATGCTTTGATGAATTAATTTATTTTATTTTTAAATTCAATTTTAATTTAATTACAGTTTTAATTTAATTAATTATATTTGATATTTTATTTAATAAAATGTTTAATGAATTTAATTGCATTTGATCTCATTTTAAAGTGTTTTGTATTCTTGTTTGCATATATTAGGGATGCCTGGATTTATCTATGTATGGAATGTTGTAATATCCTTATTTTATTTTGATCTTTTACATGCTTTTGCTCACATTAGACTAATCATCTAGAAAATGAAGAAATTTTGTCCCTTAATAAATAAATTAATTGACTCATACTTGTGTATGTAGACTGCAGAGAGATCCTGTTGCCTCTGATGACAGATCAGCTCAAACTTCATTTGGAGAATCATGAAGAGCTGGAGTCCTGCTGTCAGCTGCTCAGCGACATACTGGAGGTGCTTTACAGGAAAGACGTGGTAAGAAAGACACCCACACACTTGTATATCTGGTTTATGAGAACTCACCATAGTAATAATGTATTTTATATTGTTAAAAAATAAAAAGCTTATTGTATGACTGATTATTATATTGTATTGTGTTGGCCGATCACACTGAAACATGCTTTTCTGTTCTGAGAATGCAAGATGCACCGCATTGACTTTTTTGTTGGTTAGAAAAATAGTTTATACAATTAAAAATAATATAAAAATACAAATAAAATAAATAACAAAGTAGTTAAATAAAATACAAAACAATACAATAAAATACAAATTAATTTAAATAAAACAAATATATAAAAATGTAAAATAAATTTAAAAAAAAAATGAAATTTATAAATAAATTGTCATTACATGATTAAAAAGGATGAAATTTAATAATTAATAAAAAATACTATGTTTATTAACAATTAAAAAAAAATTAATTTGATATTGATTTTGGCCCCTTAGGCACTCTTTATCTGAAAAGACTGGAATGCCTTGGAATGTTCATCAGCCAATTAGAACTGAGGATTTAAAGGCCATGAAACCCCCTTGTCTCAGCAGGGTTTTTTCACACCTCAGAAAATTGAGGAAAGTAGGCGTGTCCGGCTCTGTTTAGGGGGGAGTGTTAGCTAGAATCCCTGTTGAAAGGCTTGTAAAGCACCAATTTGGTAAAGGGTCCCCAGAACATCTGCACACAAAGTATTGGTGAAAATAGTCTAATAATCAATTGGCTCTCTGTTATCGTGGTGGTATCAGCCCTCAAGCCAGTTCTAAATGACTGAGACCAGACAATGTGGCACAAGATTTCAGATTCGGACTGGTTTTGATTCAGTAATATGCCAGTGAGTTACAACAACTTCTAATAAAATGTTAAAGGTTGCCAGCACTTGGTGTAATAGGCAGACCTATGATATAGTCCAGAATGGGATCCCAAGTCTTATAAAAGGAATTGAGTGAGCGGGAGAGTAAGCACCTTCGCTTTTAGTCTGTGTTTTTTTTTTCTCATTATAATTCTTCGAATTTCATGACCTGTGTGTGACCTGCTGAAAGACGAGAGTTAAACTTCAGTCATTTTTCATCAGTTCATTATCGTCTTGTCAGTGCGCGTCTGGTTAAAACACTGGTCTCCGTCGTTTGATCAGTTACTGCTTTCATGATCAATAGAGCACTTTCCTAAAACATCTCTCTTAAATCACATCACCTTTGCTGCCACTTTTAGGATAAGTGCTTTTTATAATATGCCTTATTTGCATAAAGTATTATGACCGGGTGCATTTATTATTTTGAATGGTTTTGAATAAGTCTTGAATACGCCGTGAAACACTGCTCAGTAAATTAAGTATTAAACTCCCTTTCTGCATTTTTTTTTACACCAGGAATATTTAAGTCGGCCAAAACCATAAAATATAAATCCATAAAAAATGAAATAATAACAATATTGATGACAACAAAAACCAATAATAATAGTTTAACAACAATGATAATAATAATAACAACAACAATAATAATAATAATAGTAACAATAATAATAATAATAATAATGCTAATAATAATAATATAATAATAATAGTAATAATAATAATAATAATATTAATAATAATAAAAATAATAATATTAATTGTAATATAACAACAATGCTAATAATGCTAATAATAATAATAATAATAATAATAATAATAATGATGATGACAGTAGTAGTAGTAGTAGTAGTGATAATAATAATAATAATAATAATAATAATGTTATAACAATAATGCTAATGTAGTATTAGTAGTAGTAACTACAGCAACAATAACAATAGACTAACAACAACAACAGTAATATAATGACGATTATGATGACGATGATAATAATATGACGATGCAAATAATGCCAATATAATAATAATAATAATAATAATAATAATAATAACAATTTATATAAAATAAGTACATTTTGTTCAGTTAAGGAGTAAAATATCTAACGATATAAAAATGTAAATAAATTTCATTGCTTAGCTTGCTGTCATAAAATAACCTAAATAACAATATGAAATATATAAGCATTTAATAAGAGTAATATTAATGACAATGGCCATAAAGAAGCGCTTACTGTGTCTTCTTTATGACATTAAAATAACACTATCTACCAAGACACAGTAAAATGTTGTAAAAACAAACATTGTAGTGGAAAAATACAATTTATAATGAATGGTTTTATTTATTGGTTTATTTTAGTTTGATGTATAATAATATAATAAGATTAAATGTACAACAAAATATCTCATATTATATCTCAATGTCATTTGCATGGAGTTTAAATCTGTTAAATCATTTAAATAAATAAATAAGTATATAAATAAAAATTAAAATATAAAAATATAAATAAATAATTAATTAAATAAATAAATAAACAGGTAAATTAGCAAATAAATAAATAAATAAATAAATACATAAATAAGTTAATTAATTAATTAAAAATATAAACGAATAATAAATAAATAAGTAAATAAATAAGATAAACAGGTAAATAAACAAAGACAAACAAACAAAAAATAAATACAAATATAAACTGATAATTAACTAACTAACTAACTAACTAACTAACTAACTAACTAACTAACTAACTAACTAACTAACTAACTAACTAACTAACTAACTAACTAACTAACTAACTAACTAACTAACTAACTAACTAACTAACTACATACATACATACATACATACATACATACATACATACATACATACATACATACATACATACATACATACATACATACATACATACATACATACATACATACATACATACATAAATAAATAAATAAATAAATAAATAAGATAAATAAACACAAACAAACAAATAAATAAATAAATAAACAAATAAATACAATTTTTTTAAATAATGTAGACGTGCCAACTAAATTGTCACAAAAACTAATTCAAATTTAATACCGAAGTTGAAATGACAAAGTAGAACAAAATAATAAATTTTACGCAAGGCAGAGTATATACGAACAAGAAGCACTAATCCATTCATTCATTCATTTTCTTGTTGGCTTAGTCCCTTTATTAATCCAGCGGCGCCACAGCGGAATGAACCGCCAAATTTTCCAGCAAGTTTTTACGCAGCGGATGCCCTTCCAGCCACAACCCATCTCTGGGAAACATTCACACACACATTCGTACACTACGGACAATTTAGCCTACCCAATTCACCTTTACCACATGTCTTTGGACTGTGCTGGAAACCAGAGCACCCTGAGGAAACCCACGCGAACGCAGGGAGAACATGCAAACTCCACACAGAAACGCCAACTGAGCCGAGGCTCGAAACCAGCGACTCATAGACCTTCTTGCTGTGAGGCGGCAGCACTACCTACTGCGCCACTGCCTCGCCAGCACTAATCCAATGAAAATTAAATATTAGAATATCAATGATAATTAAAACCGTTGAAGGATTTAATTTACGAATGACTTATGCCACAGTCACACTAGAGTTTGAGATTGCGAAATTCTGTTGTACGGCGCTGCGAAAAGGGGCGGGATTAAACAAAATGATTAGACATTTAAAAAAGCGAGCGATTTGGTCCATATTTTAAATTTGTGTTCAGAGAGGTCGTGTTTTGATCCTTAATTGGTCTCACATGGTCAAATGAAGCGATTTCGCAGGTGCTTACGTTTGTGGTCTGACGCATTCGCATGCGTATGAATAGAAGTCTGTGGGGAGAAAAGTGCAGCTTGACCATGGGTTAAATCCTTAACTAAAAATGTGATTAAAGTATTAAAATATAAAACAACCCTCAGATTTGATCTGATGCTGTAATATATCTATATTAAAGTATGTACTATTTCATATAACTATGAAAGCATTCATTATACTAAAATTGCACACATACATTTGCGTCACTGTTTTCCTTCATGCTGTGAGTCATTCATTCCAGTGTGTGTGTTTGTTGCGTAACACACACACACGTCACACAGTGGAGAGCAGGACTCTCTCAGCGCTGGTTGGAGATCAGCAGGAGAGCCTTGGAAAACCTTCTTTAATAATTGACGATCTGCTGAGTGTGTCAGGATCCCCTTTAAACACACACACACACACACACACACACACACACAGAGAGAGAGAGCGAGCGCTGGGATATCACGCAGAGTTTCTGTACACCATTCAGATGTGAAGAAATGTCTGTACTGTACTGACTAATTCAATATATCTGCCCTTGAGTAGTAAACAGGACTCCAGCAGGGATTTTACACTGTGATCACACACACTCACACTCCTTCCCTGCAGCACAGACTGTAGAAAACAGCAACACTACCAATACCGGATCTTACTCAGATATATGCTTTTGCAGTTTTCAATTGAAATCTTGGGCTGCATATGAAACTGGGAAAACTTTTTCAGTAAAAAAGTCTATTTTACAGTCTACTGTATATGCAACTATTTTTTGATTCAACATTTTTGTTATCCAATTATTTATTTGTACAATAATTATGAATGTTAATTATTTCACCGAAAACGTATTAGCTCTGTTTTAGCTCAAAATTGTCAATAGTTTATCTAATATTAATAATTATTTTTAAAGTAATGCTTGCCAAGTGTGCGATTTACAAATAAAATACAAACTTGCAATTTCGTGGAAGATTATGATTGTTTAAAATCACAGTTTTACATGTTATTAGTATAAATATGAATAATAATAATAATAATAATATTAATAATAATTTATTATTATGATTATTATGATGATGATGATGATTTTTATTACTATTATTATTATTATTATTATTATTATTATTATTACGATTATTATTATTACTATTATTGTGATTATTATTAATAATAAAGCAATGATAATAATAAATAATATAGTAATATATTGTTGTTGTTGTTGTTGTTGTTGTTGTTGTTATTATTATTAATATTATTATTATTATTATAAATCATATTCATACTAATAATAATAATAATAATAATAATAATAATAATAATAATAATAATAACAACAACAATAGTAATAATACTATTGAAAAAATAATTTAATTTTTTACTATTATTATTAATATTATTACTATTATTATAATTAATAATTATACGGTTAATAATAATAATAATTTAATATTATTGTTTTTGCTATAATTATTATTATTATTATAAATATTATAACTACTACTACTACTACTACTACTAATAATAATAATAATAATAATAATAATTATTATTATTTTTATTATTATTGTTATTATTATTAGTAGTAGTAGTAGTAGTAGTAGTAGTAATAATAGTAATAATGATAATAATAATAATAATAACAATAA